TTACTTACTTACTTACTTACTTCTGGCTAGAAGGTAGATTTTCCTGAAGATTAGGTACAAAAATGTACAATATCTTTATTTAGCGCATGTGTATAAGCCAAACTTTGGAAAATTTGCTCCGTCAGAATGCAATCGATATCCAAAACGGACAGTTGTGCGAATTGATCTATCTTAGCTCTGTTAACTGCTTATCAAGAATACCTGGTGACATTTAAATTGATGACGTCACAAGTGGTACAAAGAGCACGACCCCATATAGACGCATATGTGCGCTTGGTAGTTAAAAGATCATAATTCGTGTTTCTATATTAAACAATTAGGTTATGAGCTCAAGATTCCTATTTAAACAATAGAGTGTTTCTGTCGAGGAACTATTGGCTGATAGTTGGTGGCCCCCCAGAAATTTGATGTTCTTAAAACAAATATGCGAGTTTTAAGAACATCAAATTTCCAAGGGGCAACCATCAGACCGATAGTTCCGAGACATAAACACTCTATTGTCTTAATTGTTCACCATTAAATTTTCTTCTACGCGCCAGTTCAAAAATCATACGGAATTATTTTTAACTTTTTGAGACGAAAGCCGTGAAAGCCAAATGTAAAATTCCAAAAGGAAAACAGACAAAAACGTACTTAATACAATTTCAATTGTTTATTTTTTTATAAGTTCGCTTGTTTACAGAAAACTTTTTCACGGACGAGTACTATCCATCCGGGTATTTTCCTCGGACGGGCACTATGGGCTGATGGTGTCTCTCTGCGAATGAACACTATCGCGTGACGTGATCAGTTTAAACCAATAAGAATCGGAGAAAATTTAGTCGCGAACTATCACGCGATAGACATCGTTTTAATATAATTCTACTATTCGTTCAAAACCAGGAGCCATAATCGGGGACGGAGACCGGAAGTCTTATGATCCGCGCGCACCTATGATATGGGAATGATATGGTACAATTTTTCTATTTTTAGAACAAATTGCCCCACCATGACGACATATATCCGCGCGGATCCATGCACATGTCGGGGGTTCTCGCGTGGATGTTGTCACGTTCCGTGATCAAATGGTGAGAGCTCCGAGATTCCCTTGCAGACTTTTCACAGCGATGGCAGGGAATAAGGCAATGAATAAGATCCAGGGCTCTTATATATAGGTTTTATATAGGTTTATGCTCTGGAAAAGGTGAGTTTTTCAGGGTCGAAAACAAGACTTCAATTTCGCGCTGT